ACGCGTATTTCGTTGAATTACGAGCATATTGCAGCATTACACTGCAAGTGGTACGTAGACCTGCTCTTCTCACTCTCCTCGTCATTATCAACCACATAATCGTGTTTATCTGCGTATTTCGCCTTTTCACGCGTATTTCGTTGAATTACGAGCATATGCAGCATTACACTGCAAGTGGTACGTAGACCTGCTCTTCTCACTCTCCTCGTCATTATCAACCACATAATCGTGTTTATCTGCGTTATTTCGCCTTTTTACGCGTATTTCGTTGAATTACGAGCATATGCAGCATTACACTGCAAGTGGTACGTAGACCTGCTCTTCTCACTCTCCTCGTCATTATCAACCACATAATCGTGTTTATCTGCGTTATTTCGCCTTTTCACGCGTATTTCGTTGAATTACGAGCATATGCAGCATTACACTGCAAGTGGTACGTAGACCTGCTCTTCTCACTCTCCTCGTCATTATCAACCACATAATCGTGTTTATCTGCGTTATTTCGCCTTTTCACGCGTATTTCGTTGAATTACGAGCATATGCAGCATTACACTGCAAGTGGTACGTAGACCTGCTCTTCTCACTCTCCTCGTCATTATCAACCACATAATCGTGTTTATCTGCGTTATTTCGCCTTTTCACGCGTATTTCGTTGAATTACGAGCATATTGCAGCATTACACTGCAAGTGGTACGTAGACCTGCTCTTCTCACTCTCCTCGTCATTATCAACCACATAATCGTGTTTATCTGCGTTATTTCGCCTTTTCACGCGTATTTCGTTGAATTACGAGCATATTGCAGCATTACACTGCAAGTGGTACGTAGACCTGCTCTTCTCACTCTCCTCGTCATTATCAACCACATAATCGTGTTTATCTGCGTTATTTCGCCTTTTCACGCGTATTTCGTTGAATTACGAGCATATTGCAGCATTACACTGCAAGTGGTACGTAGACCTGCTCTTCTCACTCTCCTCGTCATTATCAACCACATAATCGTGTTTATCTGCGTTATTTCGCCTTTTCACGCGTATTTCGTTGAATTACGAGCATATTGCAGCATTACACTGCAAGTGGTACGTAGACCTGCTCTTCTCACTCTCCTCGTCATTATCAACCACATAATCGTGATTATCTGCTTTATTTTGCCTTTTCACGTGTATATCGTTTAATTATGAGCATATTGCAGCATTACACTGCAAGTGGTACGTAGACCTGCTCTTCTCACTCTCCTCGTCATTATCAACCACATAATCGTGTTTATCTGCGTTATTTCGCCTTTTCACGCCTATTTCGTTGAATTACGAGCATATTGCAGCATTACACTGCAAGTGGTACGTAGACCTGCTCTTCTCACTCTCCTCGTCATTATCAACCACATAATCGTGTTTATCTGCGTTATTTCGCCTTTTCACGCGTATTTCGTTGAATTACGAGCATATTGCAGCATTACACTGCAAGTAGTACGTAGACCTGCTCTTCTCACTCTCCTCGTCATTATCAACCACATAATCGTGTTTATCTGCGTTATTTCGCCTTTTCACGCGTATTTCGTTGAATTACGAGCATATTGCAGCATTACACTGCAAGTGGTACGTAGACCTGCTCTTCTCACTCTCCTCGTCATTATCAACCACATAATCGTGTTTATCTGCGTTATTTCGCCTTTTCACGCGTATTTCGTTGAATTACGAGCATATTGCAGCATTACACTGCAAGTGGTACGTAGACCTGCTCTTCTCACTCTCCTCGTCATTATCAACCACATAATCGTGTTTATCTGCGTTATTTCGCCTTTTCACGCGTATTTCGTTGAATTACGAGCATATTGCAGCATTACACTGCAAGTGGTACGTAGACCTGCTCTTCTCACTCTCCTAACCG